ACATTTGGAAATTCTGGGGACATTTTTGATCGTCATAACTGGAAGAGTCATCTTAAGATGAACTGGGTAGAAGCCAGGGATGCTGTGAATAGGTAGCACAGGGAAGTGCCACCATTACAAAGAAATATCTGGCCCCAAATAGCAGTTATGCCATGATTAAAGAAACCCTGCTATAAGCTGGCCAGGATTTTGTAGCCCCTGCCGCCTCCAGCATGGGAGGCAAGTGAGCCCCAAGAGACCCTTTATTTCTGAACAGACCCTGGAATCAGTGTTTTCCTTCCTTCCAGCCCTCACATACTCAGCCTACCTGGTGAGAGATGCTCTGTGATGGGGGTTCCTGTACAAGGGGCCTTTGACGTGTTTTTCACAGATCCCTATGGAACACTGGTAGAGACTGTGAGGCCTAGCCCGGCCCTCACAGCCTCAGGCCAAGGGAACCATGGAGCCCCTTCTTCTTGCTCTATACCTCCTCATCTTTTTCTCTGATCTTGCTCCTCTCACCCCACCTCTCATCATCTTTTCTCCCACCCCACCCCCGAAGATTAATGTGATAATTGCCATGTGTGCCTGTTTACACAGGGAGTGGGTGAGCTCACCACCCTCAATCAGGCAGGTTCCCAAAGAAACGTGTTCCCACGGTGTCAGGACTGGTACCCGCTGAGCACTCCTGTGCAGGTGGGCTGCCACCCCCAGACTGCTTTCTCTGTCTGTCATCTCCTTGCCTTGTGCATGTTTGCATGTGTGTGCCACTCAGGAAAGATCCAGGTGAGAAGGAGGAAGAACAGCCAGACTGCCAGTCTAGGAGAAGGTGTTGTAGACAGGAGGGCCATCAGCACCCTGAATAAGAAGACACTAACTCAACGAAAGCACTTCTCTGTAATACCTGACACCTGGTAGGTATTGCTAGTCAGGGTGTGACAGAGACAGGGAACCAATAGGACATAGGAGAGGGGAGTTATTAAAGGAATTGGGACACGTGATCACAGAGGCTGAGAAGTATCATAACAGACTGTCTGCAAGCTGGAGAACCAGAGAAGACAGTAGTTTGGCTCAGTCTAAATCTAGAGCCTCTGAGCTAGGCGAGCTGATGGTGTATTCCTTGGTCCAAGCCAAGTTGCAAGAGGCCTCTGTTAAGCCACCAGTGCAAGTCTCAGAGTTCAAGTTCAGTTCAGACCTGGAGTTCTGATATCCAAAGGCAAGAGAAGAGTGTCCTACTTGGGGCAGGGGGTCAGGAGGAGAGCGTGAGAAGGCACATGAGTACAAGTCTCCTTAGCTCCTTTCACTGTCTTTTCGAGGCCCATCCAATTGGAAGTTATTTGAGGGCAGATCTTCTCCACTAGGTCCCAATCACAAGCCAATCTTCCCTAGAAATACAAACACAACCAGAGTCTGTGCTTGACTAGTCACCTAGGCATCTCTCAATTCAAAGTTTATACCCAGAGCCAACGGTGGCAGTAGGTGTTCAGTGGACAGGGAAGAAGGAAAAGGCCACAGCACCCTGGGCAGCATTCTTTGCTGGGAGAGGCCAAGTTTACACTGAGCTGCTCCAAGGTAAAGGCTGGGTGGTAAAGGTGCCCCATGAGACTCTCCTGGGTCTAGAATCAGCAGAACATGTTTTGGAAGCTGCAGTCTCCTCCCCCAGGATCTTACAGGGGAAAGTAGACTGTCATCCAACGTGGAAGCGGCTTGTGAGCCTTATGACTCTGTCGTGGACGCAGTGAAGAAAGAATGAAAGAAACAGATTCTTCTGTCTCCCAAAGTGCCCTCCCTTCTTCCTCTTGCTGTGGGACAGACACTGGGAAAACAGCCACAACTCTAAGGCTGCCCTGGCATCGCTCTTCTGACTCCCATTTTGCATGGTGTCAGGATGCTTGCTGCATTCAGAGTTGTTGATTGCTGCTTTTTTAAACCTCAAAAGACACTTTAGTAGATGTCACTCCTACCCTGGACAGTTTTAAGGTTTTAATAATGATGAATCAGAAGGGAATGGAACCTTTAATTAGCATCAGAAAGGACCTTGCCTTTCAAATAAGAGATGCCTGAAGTCCTTTGTTTGCCCACTTCCTGCTCAGGGATGTCCCCTGGTCCTGAAGGAGGCAGGACAAGCACAGGAGGGAAGAGGAAGCCACCTGGTTCATCAGGGTGGGAGCAGAAGAGCTGAAAGGAAGGTGGAGGGAGGGTGCAAGGTGTGCAGCGGGGTGCGGCAAGTCTATTAAAAGGCTGGTGAGTAATCTCAGGGAGCTGTCAAGCTGCATTCTCCAGAGGAACCTTTTAAGCTGTCAGTCATCTTTAACAACCCCTAGTGTATGGTGCTGCTGAGGCTGGTGTCTTTCTGGCTTTTTTTTTCTTTTTCTCTTCCTCTTTTTTCATCTAAGAGGACCTGGTGGTGTGGTGGATGATATTTGCAGCAATTTAGAAGAACTTTCAGACTTGGAGAGGTTATACTAGAACGAATGTGTACTAGTTTATTATTAACAAGAGAAACATCTTCTTAAAAATGTGGCTATTTATTGATTAGTTAAGCCTTTCTGTATGCCAAACCCATTGTCAGGTGCTATATATATGATATATAAAAGTAAGAAGACAGTTAAGGTTCCTGCCTTAATATAGTTAAAGCAAACAGAAAATATCCTCATAAAACAGGGACTAAAAAAGACTGTTCAGATTAGTATTTATAGAGGAGTTGGGAAACATATTCCAGGCTTCCAGTCAGTGAAGGGAACCCTTTTATCTCTGTTTTACAGACTGTATTCCCTGATGCATTAATGGATTTTCTTTGAAAAAGAGGATTCCACAATCAGGGAATTTAAGAAATGATGTAAACAAAGTAAATACCCTCCCCCTCACAGCACACATATAGGTCTTCTTACAGGCTTGAGAACACATATAGCTTGCTATTTCCCATGTTCTTCCAATTACTGAAGCCCATTTTCCACAAAATACATTCATCTATTACAGATCATAGCAAGAAAAGAACATAATTCTGAACTTATTCACTGTACAGAAGCCCTTGCAAAGAATCATCCGTGTGATGCTGCTCTGTGCTATCCTCAAACCATAATAGCTCAGTTACTCGTGAGAGCAGAGATACCTCAGAGGTCATCATCACATGGCTGCCATTGTTGATATGACTTCATGTTTACGGGCGACTGAGTCTCAGCCTGATACAAGGTGTGGACTTAGGCTTTGCTGCCAAAGAATGATAAGAGGATTGACCAGGCCAGAAAGTTGATGACACCTATTGATGTGGAACCCACCAGCAAATTATTGGAGCTAACCCATCATTACAGACTTCTTGATTTATTGTCATGAGTAAAGGTAAAAGTAGCTATATAAGGATCATTCAGTTTGCCTTTATGCCCATAGCCCATGTCTTCACTATTAAAAAAGCAGCTTCCTATGTCCATTATAGCCACTGTGCCTCTTAGCACCCAGTTCTTCCATGTTTTTCTTCTGATAATCAAAAAACTGTCTACGATGTCTTGTTCATGTCTTCCTACTTGCATTTAACTGTCCAGGGCTGATAGAACCAAAGAGCTGGATCATAGACACTGAAAACGGCAGGTCTTTGCCTTTGACCCACTCAAACTAGAAAGTGTTTTATCATTTGTTAATTTTAATTTTAAATCTGCTTCAGTTGTAATCCTGTCTCTCTAAGGAGTGCAATGGCAAAACGAAAGACACAAGTTTGCTGAAAGGAGTTTGCGTTACAAGCTCTTCTGCCTGGAAAACTCTACAGTACAGTGGTAGCTGTCATGATCAATGGGCAACTAAACTCTGTGGACTGACATATTTGAATGGGAAGTAGAGAGAAAATGAGACAATTTGGGAGAAAAAATATATAAATATAAATCCACAGGAGGCATAAGGACAATGAATCAAACTATTTTTTCAAAGCTTAGTAGCAAGTGGGAGAAAAAGATATCAACTGAAGGGATGAAGAGACACTTTACCATAAAAATTCTGAGTTCTGATCTTAATTTTACTAAGTTAGCCTATCAGTTTTAGGTATGATGTCTCACCTTCATGGCCTTGATTCCCTAATGAATTGGGCCTAAAATGTTTGTTGTGAGTTTCAAGTGGGTGTCAAAGTTTATGTGTGAGGGACAGGGCGGGGTTGGAAGTGATTTCAGTTCAGAAAAACAATTTTAAGAGAGTAAGGGAAAGAGAGTCAAGGCAGAGCTTGAGAAGAACCCTTAACTGAGAAGCACACACATTAGAACTTTCAGCCTACTCATTTGCTCTGTTTCAAGGATCTAGTAAGACATCCTGCCAAGTGTTGCTGCATTGGGTAAGTTGTATAGTGTAATTCTTCCTCAATTCCCAATCACTCAAGGGCTTTGCATCCATTTTGAGACACCAGAATCCAGAGTATAGTTTCTATCCCTTTTTCACTGTACTGTGTTAACACTAGAGAGAAAGAGACAGACAGAGAGAGACACAGAGACACAGAGAGAGAGACACACACACACACACACACACACACACACACACACAGACAGAGAGAGCGAGAGAGAGAGAGAGAGAGAGAGAGAGAGAGAGAGATCAAGTGACCACTCTTCAAATGTAGGTTTATTCCTTATTCCATCCAGAACCTTCCTGGCAAGGTCTGGTCCAGGTTTTATGGTGATGCAAGAAGAAAACTTAGACCTCAGGTCAAAGGCTGAAAAAGGTATGAAAACTTTAATTGTTTTCTAAGCAGCAAGCACTATAATAAAACCAGTTAGTGTTTGCATGGTCTTGGAAAAGTATCTGGTTTTTCTACCTTTAGTTTTCTCATCCATTAAGTGAGGATGTTAAATTATTCCCACTCAGGTTACTATGGAGAAGCTGATGAAATGTCTTGACTATGTTCATAGCAAAATATGAGTTAACCTGCAGTAAAAACCAAGTTGGGGTGGGTGCAGTAATGTGTAACTTTCACCGTGTATATTACATCATCTTGTGTGTGAAGGAATATATGGCTTTAAGTACTAAGGAACCATTTTTCTTTCTTTCAGACCAATGATGCCTTAGGAGCCACCTGGAATTGGCTGTACTTCATCCCCCTGATCATCATTGGATCCTTCTTTGTTTTGAACCTAGTCCTCGGAGTCCTTTCTGGGTAAGCCAGACGTTTCTCTTTTTCACCAGTTCGAAATTAATGCCTCCCAAATAATGACAGATTTAACCTCTGTTTAGAAGATACTTACTGAGCAGTCCCTTTGTGCCAGTGCTGTTCTAGATGGTGGGAATGTGATAGTGAACATTGCTTTAAATATCTCAATAATTCTAAAGAGTGAAAAAATCTTTGCACCTGGCCCAGTACTGAACATGGTATCTAAGAATTCATTTATTCATCCATCTTTCTACTTAGTAACTTTCTGTCAACAAGTTGAATGAATGGGATATAGGTTTTATTATCAAAAGAGCCTTATCCTATAGTGTAATGGCTATCAAATCCCATATTTGTGACTTGAATTTATTTGCACCAATTTGCAAGCACTCAGTGTCCAATATCATGGTATTTGCAAAGAACACATAAACTTAAAGGCATGGTCCCTGCTCCCCTAAAGAAATTTGTTTTGTCAAGAAGACAATGTACTTGAAACAAGGAATGGGAGGGTTTTTTAACCTATAAATAGCAGATATAGTAATTCATTTGGGGGAAGCACAAATCTGTGTAGTCTAATGTCATCAGGTATGGTTTTGTGACAGATTGGGATTTTGCTCAAAATATAAACTATGTACTAGGATAAAAGAATATGCAAGAGTGAATACTCCAGGAAGGGTAATGCTGTGCTATAAGCAAAGATGAAAGAATGGAACACATTGTGGAATATGAAGACCAAGAAATACTTTAGAGGATCTTAAGCAAAATTGAACTTAATATATTGTCAGAATGGGCTAAGTTCTTCAGATGACAAGTTATAAGGTGATACTTCATGTGTAAGCATTACAGATCGACTCCAGTTGGTCATTTCTTGAAACTATGCTTATATAGGAAAAGACTTTTAACAAAGGCACAAAGACAAGAGAACAAGAGAAATGAAAACAGATGAGAAATGTGGACAAATTTTTGAAGATAGAAAATAAGTGATGGACATAGTAGCTGGAAAGCTAAGATTTAAATGCCTATAATGAGTGTCAATTTATAAGGAATGCCAATTTAAAAAGCAAGCCAATTGCCCTGAAGAACATGGCAAATACTAAAAAATGAGAGAATTCAGACATCCCTCAGAGATGGAATGGTTACGCATGGTGCTACAAATAAGATTATTGGTTGAAAGTCCTTATGCCTTGCTTTATCATAGGTCTCAATCCCCAGACAGTCTGACAATTTTTTGCCCCATTGAACTCCTGTACCAGTGAGGAGATCTACTCTCTGCAGATGATTCAATCAGGGAAGATTAGAATGGTCACCTTAGGTGCATTTTAGGGTGGACTTGACAGGTTATAATGAAAAACAGGAGCGTTTAATGACAGTCCACAAACTGTTATTATTGTGACCCATTTCCGCTTTCTCAGAAATGCAGCAATCTGGTAGGAGTTTAGAGGATTCTTCTGTGGGGAAAATGTCTTGAGGACAGATCTATTTGTGCTGGTATTTGAGGAAGACAATAGAAACAGGTCTCCACCCCAGCACCTCCCACAAGGTTCACCATATTAGTTTCCTATGTCTGCTGCAACAAATTGGTGCAAAGTAAGCAGCTTAAAAGAGTGGAATTTTATTCTTTCACAGTTCTGGAGACTATGCATCCAAAATCTGGCAGGTCTGCACTCCTTACATGGGTTCAATGGGAGAATTTATTAATTTTTTTCTTCTAGCTTCTAGGCAGCTAGGCATTCCTTGGCTTGTAGCCTCATCACTCCAATCTCTTCCTTCTATGGTCACATTGCTTCTTCCTTTCCTGTGTCTGTGAAGTCTCCCTCTCTGCTTCACTCTTATAAGGACACTTGTCATTGGGTTTAGGATCATTACATAATCCAGGATGATATGCTCATCGGAATATTTTTAATTTAATTATCTTGCAAAGACCCCTTTTCCAAATAAGGTAACATTCAGGAGTTCTGAACACTGGGACATGAGCATTCTTTTTTTAGGGGACCCACTGAACTCACTACCCCACAAGTCCCAACCATGCATACAGAGTTTCCATTAAGCTTTCTGTGTCTTGTTTTTAGATCTTAACATGCAGCCAGTGATTGTCAGCTCACTGAGGATAATATCCAAAAGAAAAGGCACAAACAAAAAAATTACAAAAATAAACTTAAGAGAATATAAGCTTTGGAGAGAGTAGAAGACAACTTTTATAAACTGCATCTGATATTAACAGATGAGAAACAATGTAGTATATAAAATAATAGGTTGCTGTGTATTTTGAAGTTAAGAAGAGCTGTTGGAAATTAATGTAAAATCATTAATATAAAACTAATATAAAAGTGACTTGAAGTAAAAATGTAGTTACAGTAAAAAGTCAATGGTCAAAGGCAAAGTTGAGAAAATAACCTAAAAAGTAGAAGAGAAAAAGAATGGGATCAATGCAACATTTAAAGATTATAGGAGTTCCAGAAAGAGAACAGTAAAATGGGAAAGAAGAAATTAACAAAGAAAAATGTGAGAAATGTTCCCTGAACCAAAAGACTCAGGTTGCCAAATTAAGAGATCTGTTGAGACATGTGCAGGGATGTTCTCTGCAGCATTGTTTCTTGGCAGTAGGAAGTTGGAGGCAACCTGGGTGCCCACAACAGGGAAATTTAGATAGGTACAATGTTGGATGCATACCATGGCATATGATGTAGGAGTTGGGAGCAACAGATTCCATGTACACATAAAACACAGAAAATTTTTAGAACAGAATTCAATGAAAACAAAGAAACAATGTCATACAATGTGATTTGCATAAATAAAAATACATACACACAGAACCTAAGTAGTTTATAAAACTACATTCAAATAAAAAGTATATACTGACTATATTGTAATGATAGTTTGTATGGTAGGTTGATAGAAGGTGAATTTGTAGATTAACCATAAAACACCTACTGATGTCAGGAGTAGCAGTGCTTTGGGAGGCTAGGGTAAAAGGATCATAGGTTTGAGCTCAGCCTGGGCAACATGTCTCAAAATAAAATGACCCTGTTTCAAAATAAAAAGGGGCTAGAGATGTAGCTCAGTGCAGAGACCTTGGGTTAAATACCTAGTACCTCAAAATTTTAGAAAAAAAAAAAAAAAAAAAAAAAAAAGAAGAAAATATCTACTCAGTACTCAGCACAGTTAGAGACCACACCAAAGCACATTATCGTGAACATCAGAGTAGAGAATAGCCTGAAAGCTTCTACCAGTTGGGAAGGCAGTCAAGTTACCAATAATCAGGGTGGTGTTAGACTTCTCAATGGCAACACTGAAAGTTAGAAACCAATATAGAACCTAAAACTTTCTGTAAGAAAACAATTTTCATGATAAAATTATATACTCAGCCAAAGTGCCAATTATTCCATGGGGATGGAATAGCAATAGTTTCAGATACCCTTTCTGAAGAAGTTACTGGAGAGCATAAGTCACTAAAAGTAAGGAATTAAGAAATAAAGGCATGATACTCAGGGAAACATGAGAAGACCAGCAAAGCAAAGGATGGTGGAGGGAAGTGTAGAGTGACAGTGGTCAGCAGCCTAAAGATATGGAGATCAAATTTGAATAAGATGACCATGGGCTCTAAAAGTGCTGTCTTTAATAGAGAAAGTGAAACTAATATATGACCTGATATGTTGTATTCATAAGAGTTTTATGATTTTATTAAAACTATATATATGATGCATGCAAGTATTTGTACAAACCTTCCCGAAGCATTTATTTCCACAAAATACAGAAGTGTTACCACTAAAGAAATAATAAGCATAGCAATGCCTCTGGGCTCTGGGCTGCTCAGCTATCAGCCAGGTTTCCACTGTCAATGCTGAAGTCTGAGGTACTCTTAGGGTACTGTAATTGCTTTGATTGGATGGGGGAGACGGAATATGGGGAGAGAGAGGGAGTGTTAAAGACTAAAATCTTAGGTTCCACAGTGAGAAAGTCTTTAAGCAGTATCTAAAATTGAAATATAAAGAAAGAGTGTTTTCACCATAATATTTAGAAATTTGGAAGTGAATACCAAAAGAAAAGGGTGTAAGGGTTGCCTCTGGGGAGTGAGATTCAGGGGTTGCAAGAGGTGAGACCGAAGCCCGCAATTTTTTTTCATTATACATCTTTCAAAATTATTTGACTTTTAAAACTCTACATCTATTACATTGAGAAAGATAGGAATTAAAATCTTAAAGTAATAATATTATGCATACAAAATGTAGGTGAAAGGAATATCTAAGAACATTCATCTAGCATCAGTGAGGGCAGGATTGGCACTGGGAGAGACCAGAATCATGAGGATCAATAACCATATGAGTCCAACCATGTGGTTCTAAGAGCCTGTGGTGGTAATTTGTGAAAGGGTTCTAAAAGAGAAATGAGAGACATTGTGAAGGAGTTCTTTGTAGTGTATATCTTGACTGGAGAGTCTTAAGACAAAATAGGATTTCTTCTGTGTATACCTACTCAGTGAGCATTTATGAACATCCTTTGTTACATCCAAGGACTTTTCTAGGTAACTCTTCACCCAGCCTGTACCTACAACTCAAACACATTCCTTCAATGACTGCCCAAAGCAGGGACCTGACCAGAGACATCTTTCTTCTCGTGTTTCCTGAGGGCATTCTCTCTACTGTGTGATCTTAGTCTGATGTTCTTTATTTTTACTTATTTCCTATGTGTGTCCATATTTTAATTTAGAAAATTCAAGACAGATTCATACTATTTAAAAAGAGAGAAAAATAGATGTGGTGCCAGCAAAAGCCATTGGTGTTCCAGATAAGACTCCAATTTGGGTTCAAGGTATGTCTTAGTGAAGCTGGAAATGGGACAGAGCACAGCTCCACCAGACAGTGCCTGTGTCTGACCATGTGGATGCTCTCTGGTTTGGAGTTGCATCACTTCATTTTCCTACATCCTTCTCCAGATGAGAAAGGGTGCTACATTGGAAGAATCAAAGTCTTTAGCATGACATTCATGGGTGAGAAATCTTACCCTCTATT